TCACCCTTGGGTGAAGACGGCCACATATTTAAAATGACAACTTTTAAGGCGAGAGGTGTAAAGTCCTACGAACAAAATTAGTCGTAGAGTAGTTGAAAGTGGTAGTAACAGTAGAGCTTCTTGTGAAATAGTTCGTCCAGGGGAGTATGCCACCTCGTCTATTTCTGCCACCAAACAGTAATGTGAGTTTTTCGGCATTCTGGTTTTGAAGGATAAGGTTGCTCGTGAAATTACAGGCACGTGGATCTTGTCAAATTATGTCTTAGGGTAACGGGCGCTCTGACTAACACTACAATTGCTGTGGACAGACGTGTCGCTTACCACCAGGCCCATGATTCGTTCGTCCCATCACGTGGCATCATAAAAAAATAGTAGTTAACGTTTTTATTCTTAAATAGGAGAGTTATAAAGTTTCAAGTAGTTCGTTTATTTTTATCACTTTCATGTGATAAAAGCACTTCTGACTTATGATCACATGTGACTATATGTTATACACATATATTGCACAAAGGGTATGTTTTCAGTTCCTTATCCTGTTTCATAATACAGGTTATCCTAACTTGAAAGTCAGGGAATCTTCAGATAATACCAACAAGTTACACACATTCTGTAAGACGTTTAAAAAAATTATTATACTTAGAGATCTTTTCGTCAAGTGCCAAAAGTAATGCCTAGTACGACTATCGCGCCGCAACTCTGACAAAGCGCTATACCGATATAATGATAACGGTACGTTCGATTGGTCGATGATTATTTGAAATGCAACAATAAACGAGTACAAACAACGGGTTTATGTGCTGCAATAAAAGCGAGTCTGCACTTGCGCCTGGACGAACTCATAAACTGCAGTGGACTGATGCCAAGTGATACAGCAGTCGTGTGTACGTGACCTAGCTGCCAGTAAATATTTTAATAAATAGGAAATACTTTAAAGTACAGTTATTTATTGGATATGTACACAAATTTATTTTCCGCTAAAATGGTATATTTTTGTGTTTTAACCAAATTAAATGTAGGAATGAAACTATTTTTCCGGATTTAAATCGCGTATATTTGTTTTTTCAAACAAACCGATGTTTGTTGTTTGAAAAAACAAATATACGCGATTTAAATCCGGAAAAATAGTTTCATTCCTATGTATAACAATCGCGAAAACCTAAGAACTCGATACAAATTAAATGTACTAAGTAGGTATCATTAAAATAAAAAAGAATATTTTCGACGTCTTTGATTGAAAAGATGCGAAAAAGCACTACGTGTTCTTTACAGTCAAGATCACGCTGAAATTTGCTTATCGTAAGTGATAGAATTTATGATAATGTTAATACTGTAGAAGGACCAGTTTGCGAAATGAACTTTTCTAAATTGGATTTGTTGTGGGTAGTGCCGTAGAATTAATTTCATCGCTCTGGTATTTATATTATAGTACCTAGGTATAGTGAATCCCCTAATTTGAGATCAGGTAGTTGATTTAGTAGTCTGGCACATTATTGGTGCGAAAAACTTGTAACCAAAGGAGTATTGAAATGTGACATTACAATCTCTAATTATTATTACCGTCAAAGACGTCCGAAATTTGAGGTGTTGATGCCCATTTCAAATTGCCTATAATAATAATTTATTTCACACAATCAAAATTCATTTTTTATCACTTGTTACTTATACAACCACTTATTAAAAAAAATTGTGCCGCCTGCAGAGTACTCGTCATTGTGTAATCTCAGTACAGAGTTCTAAAAATCCGATCCCAAAAGTTCGTGGAATTACATCTATTTGCCATCGGAAAGTGCGCGAAACAGGATTTATCCTCTAGTTTGGGACTCTTAGAGGTGGAATATTTTTTTCAAATTTAAATGCCGGAGTTATCGCGTGAAATACACATTGACCTAGGTCAATGAATATACATACAAAAAACATGCAGTCGAATTGAGAACCTCCTCTTTGTTAAAGTCGGTTAAAAATACTTCCTAAAGGGGGAAGGAAATTATATGTGTATATAGCTTTGTATTGTACGTTACTTGGTATTATTTAAAAAAACTCCAAGTTATCATACAATAAGTCTGCAGTCAAGGAATTCCACTCCATAACCGTTCGCCGTATAAATGTGGAAGCGTATATGCGTATTATTTATTCACTGGAAGTGGTTAAAAATAAAATTTGTCCCGATGCTAAAACAGATAAAATCAGTTTTACGAGTGTTACGCTACGGCGGCAACCAATGAATATTCATAAAAAGTTACAATACGTAACAAAACAAGCATTTCTCTTATTATTTCAATGGAACGGAAGTCCACTTTCCCAATTTCCCGTGAATTGTTGGCACATTGTACGGAGGGTCACTGCTGAATATAAACCAATTATCAAATATCAATTTTAGAAAAATTTACTTTATGCCCTTCTCATAGGGATTTGATTTGTAGTATAAAAAGTGACTGTTTTGTCGTGCTTACGTCCGGCGACTATGGTGTAAAAATAATAACACGGCGACAGGTCGACCGCATGAGCCCAACTTAATTTGTATAATTTGCTTTCGCCTACAAATGCGGTTAATTTACCTATTTATTCAATTCCAACACTCTCATCACATGTCACATTACACCGTACTATGAGATCCTTTTGTGCCCAAAATTGAACTTGAATAAAACGATAAAAAGTCAAGTGAAAATAAGCTCCATTCATGAATTTTCGTATAAAAACTCAAATAAATGAATCGAAATTAGAGATTCGAGTATACAAATTCCGAATACATAGCAAATACAATACTCAAATTCTTTATTGTATACCAAAATGGTAACAATTAAAAATAAATAACGCACATACTCATAGCCCTGCACTAGGGAAAGCCGGCGTCGCGGGTGCCGTGGACACACACATAGACAACCACATGCCATGGTCATGCAAATATTTGTTTTTCCCGAACCGGGAATCGAACGCGGGACCTTTGAGAGGCAAACCAGCATGGTAACCGTTCGTATCCGGAGGCAGTGAAATAAAGAATAAGCGGGGCGTGTACCAACAAGGGGCGGTCTTGTTGCTTTAAGCGATTTTATGCCAGACAGCCTTTAGATGGAAGTAGTTATACAACTGACAAGAAAAAGACGGCGGTGTATGAAGATTTGGCATTCGGTAGATAGAAAATAGATAAATACATACATATATATATATTATTGTGGCCCAGAAGTTATTGCCGCTATCCACCTCAATGGTAGTAGCTGCTATGGTGAAGTGTAGGACGTGTTGCCATCCTGATGAAAAGTTTTCCCAACCATGTATTATACTCGCTGATCGTTTCCCAGGGTGCGCGAGATGTACAGAGGACATGAATAGTAACGCTATTGCGAGGAGGCTCCTTTTGTGCACCCCAATAATATATCAATGCAAATTTTATAAAGCCACATACACCACGGCAGGTTGAAAATATCATTCACTCATGACACAATCCAAACCAAAATAAATTTCACTGTTCTCAAGTTAAAGATTAGATTTGTTTAACATCTCCACATTTATATGCTCAGAAGCAAAGGGTTATTTAGGGACACAGCATGTAAACGTCGCTGTCAGAGCTAAATTTAGAGCTTTTTAGAAACGGAGGCTATGTTATAATAGCTAAAGCTAGTTATATAGTCGGTCAAAAGTTGCAATGTAATGCCTTAATAATAGAAGACGCTTCCAGAATTCATGTCTTTTGTCTTTTTTCAATTTTGTCTTCTGCCGCTCGCTCTTCCAACTGAGCTACAGGTCGAGTTAGTAGGTCGACGAAATTCTTCTGTCTGTTATAGATCTTTATACCTATTGAGATTTTTCGGTTTTTAACACCGCAGTCACATACAGTCCCAGGTTGGAGTCGTGTAGGGCTAGCACGATAGGGTGCGACTTGCGAGACAGCGACATAAAGCGCGAGATACTGCTGTTCTCGCATAGGCATCTTGCGCTTTAGCAAGTCGCGCCTTATCGTGCTAGTCGCGCCTTATAGTACTGGAGTTATTTCCCAAAAAATATATGTATAACACTTTTTATTTAAAACATTTATGCGTTCACTAGCGCAGCACCAACGCCAGTGTAGCTCTGGCACCCTGATTTATGTGTTATACAAATAACGAACAAATGAGCAGACAACAAACTATTTTAATATATAATAGACCACCGGCCACCTCAATTTAGCTAACTATAAACGTTTCTCCATTGTTGCCAAAAAAAAATTTAACGTAACAAAATAAACTTCAAGGACAAGTCTATGTGACTTTGACAAAATTTAAACACTGTGTTATCCAATGGCATCAGATGATCATCGATCATAAAGGTGTCATAGACAAGATCATATTATGTCAACTTAATATGAGTGATAACTGTAATGGTGAAATTATACCATGAATGTGTCACCGTGTGACAAAATTATTACACAATAGCCAGTAAAACTCCGTTGTACTAAAAACTTAGTACATAATTGAGTAATCTTGGTAAAAATGAGAGGCTTCATCACACGAGCAGCATTATGACAAAATAGCTTTAGGGCGTAAAATAATTGATCAGCCTGTTGCCTTTACAATACATTACATATTACACCTTAAGGCACAACAATTTAAAGGTTCTTCACCTTTTAATGAAGTACATTCAAAATAAGAAAACTAATTATGAGAAACTCGATGAATTAACAGTATTTGAGATGCGCAATATTAAACATCAATAATTAACTAATTTATTTATTAGTCATTGTATTATTACAAAAATGTATGAATAAGGAAACTGACACATTGTAACTAATTACATTATCTTCAATTGCACACACGTAGACTTAGAGGAAACAAGCCCGTTCACACATACATACATTGATGTTCCCTAAGTGACCATTAATTAAGTACTGTATAATATAGTTTCTGAAAACAGGCAAATCAGCGGTTGCCTCTTTTATATGGCACCTAATTACAAACGAGGAAAAGTAGTATATAAAAACAGGATGCGTTATAACGATGCGTTCATTTTGTGTTTTCATTTGTTGGTAGTAACATGGGTGAATTCGCGGCAAGGTTTGGCTTGGATGAGCTGAGCGGCGGAGCTGTGGGCATCGGAAGGGCAGTGCTCGCTGAGTTCATCGGTAAGTAGGCATAAAGTTTTTACCCTTCTGTTAGTTTATCTGTGACACTTGTTAACTGTCCGATGACTTTTTTCTATTCATATCATTAATCAAAATAACATAATGTCATGATCAAGGACTAGGTAATAATCAATCACTTAACCTTCATTGAAATATGAAAAAACAACAGTAGGCACATAAATGTACAATATATTATAACTAATACAAAGATAGAACAAACAGAAAGAAAAATTCCTTCGATCCACTCACAACTGAACGACGCTCGACTCGTGCAGCCACTTATGTTCAGAAACTTGCATCTCTATTGCCCAAAACTTAATTTTTTACTTTAGTGCCGATATTTTTTTAATGATACTAAGTGACGGGACGAAAACTGCGCCTGGTGGTAAGAGACACGCGTGTCCGTAGCAATTGCAATGCCCCTCAGAGGTTTAAATCGCAAAGATCTGAAGGGCTCTACCACTGCGCCTGTCAATCTGAGACATTTATGAGACTGTAGTGTTCACATTACTGGTTGGCGGCAGAAATAAGACAGGTAGTAGTACTTTTCTGGATGAACTCTTTCACAAGGACCGCTAGTGCTGCGAAATTTATTCTAATAATATGTAAATATTAATATGGTTTAAGTTACCTTACTGCTCGCCACGGGCAGGAAGTCCATCCTCACAATCTGGAACCGAGTCGATCTCGTACTGTACGGTTTCTCCCATGTACATAAGGCGCACTATAAGTTTCCGGAATTGGCCACTTACATAAACAATATTTAAAAAGTAATTACAACATTTGAAAATTGAACTCTTTGGCTGTAGAATACAGTTTGTTTCATCTGACTATCACTTGTTTTTACATTGTGGCGTCATTTTAGAAATTGGTTGCCTCATTACCACGGATTTAGCTCGTGAAAATTTACGTAGTATCATTTTCTACGACTAAGTGTAATTTAACAGCTCAGCGGAGCTTCGCTCGGCTTCAAACTGCTTTTGGCGATGAAGCACCATGCAAAACGACTATTTGCAGAATTCCAATGCGGTCGTGTGAATTTTAGTGACGAATTTCGTAAGGTCGCCCGTCCGCTGCTGTGAATAACAAAAACATCGATGCTGTGCGCCGTATGATCAAAACACATGCATGTGACATGCCGTGAGATTCGGGCATCTTTAAGCATGCGTCAAATACAATCAATACTACACAAACATTTGGGTGTGAAAAAGCTGTGCTCTCGGCGGATCCCACACAATTTGACTGAGGCTCAAAAAACGGATCGCGTCACTTAGTACAATGTCATGCTTACCAGATTCAACGAAGGGGCGTCCAATTGGTGTGAGACATAGTAACAGGCGACAAAACGTGGATTTATAGTTACGATCCTAAAACAAAGCAGCAATCGAGCGTATGGGTCTTTCGAGATGAGCCGAAACCAACCAAAGTGGCGCTCGTGTAAAGTGCCTCTAAGCGGATGATTGCTTCTTTTTTTAATAAAAGTGTACACGTGGCTACTGTTGCTTTGGAGAATCATTGTACCGTGAATAGTGATTGGTACACGACCATTTGTTTGTCGGAAGTTATTGACAAACTCCGTAAAAATAACCGTAAACGCCGTATCATCTTGCATCACGATAATGCCAGTTCTCACACGGCCAGACAGACAAATGAATTTTTGAAGGTGAACAACATTGACCTTATGAGCCATCCCGCGTACAGTTCCGACCTGGCACCTTGGGACTTTTATTTATTTCCAAAAATTAAGAACCAGTTACGCAGTCAACGATTTAAAGAGGCTGTCGAAGAGTAGGAAAAATATGTTTCAGAGATTGTCACGGAGGAGTGGCATAAATGTTTTCAAAATTGTTTCACTCGTATGAAAAAGTGCATTGACGCTAACAGAGAATATTTTGAGAAAAATAAATTCATTTCTAACCATTATTACCGTATTTTTTTCTTATTCATTCCGGAAACTTATAGTGCGCCTCACGTAATACAAAGACCGAACACTTAGAAAAAAATCCTTCGGTCTTATTTGATTCGATAAAATTTTCAAATTGTGTTTTCTCAACCACAATTTTGAGTTACGACAGTTTTTGGTTTCATGTGCGTTATGATACTAAAAATGACACGCCTGTAGCATTCACCAACCAAATAATGCACCAACGTTTCGGGCTCTTTACAAGTCCCGTGGTCACTGCTGACTGTTATAATTTTAGCTTATGTTGCCCAAATTTCTTGGTGCAAAGAAAAAATCAGGTTAATCATACTACTATATATATACTACTATTTACATTATTTAGAGTTTAGGACAAAGTATATCATTTATTTTTAATGTGATTTGGTACATCACTGACCGTGTATCGCTAGAAGTTTTTAGCCACTTTAAGTCAAACGTGCTGTACGTTACAGGTAATCTTCTGCTGAACTTGTTCGGATGCGGTGCGTGTGTGAATGTGACGCTAGGAGCAAACGCTGCGCCAAACATCGTTCTCATAGCACTTACATTCGGCTTAGCCGTTTTCGCTGCTGTCTCTGTAAGTATCGCGAACACCCTTACAACACGAAAGTAGATAAATATCATCGACTAGTCGATAGGGTCAACCTTCACGCGGAATTTAAAAGAGGAATAACATTTCTGTAGGTGGGAGGTACTTAAAGGACATTAATATTACCTATATTTTGATATATCAAAAACATTGCTTTAGTATGCCAAAAATTACGCAATGGAAAAAAGTAATTTTCAGGTAAATTTTCTCTATCTAATTTCCGTGGCATTTTTTATTATTTAAGTAAGTATTCGAGTATATTATTTTGAAATAATATTTCAGGATACTACACTCGAATTTCAATTAATACTTCATGATAAATTCTAGAATATTTAAATAATAAAAAATACCACCAAAATTAGGTAGAGAAAACTCCCGATAATTATCTTAAAAGACATTAAATCCTACCGCCGTTTGTTTTTTATTTAACATATTTTATTTGACCTTAATGACCTTTAAAACGCTGTAGTAAAAATTACTATTTGGCACTTAAGGTCCTTTACCTACAGATATTTTCAAAAGAAATATTATAATTATAGAGTTGGTGTTTACTATCAATCACGAATACAAAAATTTATTTCTAAAGTCAATATACTAGTATTGATTTTCCTCCATTTTGACGTTACATGTAATGTGTGTTCAAACAATCAGACTAATAACCCTGGTCACATGTTAGGAAATTATCCTAGACTAAGAATACCAGAGTTAGTATTAGAGCTACCTTGGTAGGTAATAAGTAGGATCTAAGTTCCTAAACAAACTTTGAATTGTTTTTAGACAACGATTGAATATCTTGTCTTTGTATTTGTCAGCTCTAATTTTCAAATGAATATAAATATTAGACAACATGACATACGTTGCTCTGATTCCAAAGTAAGCAACCAACGTACTTGTGTTACGGAAATTTGAAACGCCGGTACCTACCACAAACATCCAGATCCGATACAATATAGAAGAGTTTCTCTACATTGACCCGGGACCTCAGAGATGGCCATTAGAGATGAAACGGATATCCGGTAACTATCCAATATTCGGTCTATCCGGCTTATTTTTGCTGTCCGGTCCGATTCCGGATAATAGAACAATATCCGACCGGATACCGGATGTTTAAATCTGAGAAAAATTCATAGTCAGTACGCTAAATAAATAAATTTATTGATTAAAGATAATTATAACGTTATCTGTAAATTTAGTACTCAACTTTCAAAAGGGTAAATTATGGTGGTTAAAGACCCGTTTTTATGCATTAAGTGATAAAAATTGGTTCTATTTATTTTCATAAACGAGACCATCTTCAGAGGACAGCTTTTCATATAAACAATTGCAAACTTTGTTAAATTTGAAGTACTACTTGTTATTGCTAAAGGACCGAATTAAAGGATAGCGACCTTTAAAAACATTCTGTAACAATAAAACAGTAAGTAGGTTTTTTTTTTTTCTTTCTGGCAAATCTGGTATCAAGGCTTGAAATTAGTTAGATCACAAACAAATTAATGAGATCAACTTAAAAACAAAATAATAACGGGCGTATTAAATGCCTATTAAACTATAAGACTATTATACTTCTAACAACTAGAAATTTTAATATAGCCGAAGAATGATGTAATTGCTTTTTTTCCTTCTCCACCGCGAGAAATTTGCATTCGGCACAACAAACAAACAGCACTGATATTAAAATATTGCCAAATTTGCGATTTTTTCCATTGTTAACATTTTATTTTTATATATATGTTTGTATTATCGAATAAATTAATCGTTTTTATAAAAACCAAGTGACCACAATCGTTAATGTGAAAGTGCAATCATTCACCAATCAATCAATCACGGCGAAGCGCGCTGTAAACCGATCGCGACATGTTTACGGCAGTAGGTCAGATATCCGGCGGCTGGATTTCCGAAATCACTATCCATTTCATCTCTAAAGGCGATACCTTGAAAAAAGGGGTATAAGCCATATAGGACTTGCGTCAAATTCAGTAAACAATCCTTTAAAGGTGTTCGTTAAAACCAGAATGCTCACGTACTAAAAAGGTAACTCGTGACAGTGATATTCTGCCAAGCGTATATTAAAATTCATTAGTTGTTATGCACCTGTGGAAAATTCTCTGTCACATGTTTGTATCAGACCCGCATATGGAAAATAGAATCAGATAAAATTTCAAAATAAACGCTTCTAGTTCCTAATTAAATACGTTACTGTACGTTGTTGAAGACTGGTGACGATACCAACATACGTATCATAATAATTTAAACAATAAACCATTATTGCAATAAACAATTATATTTTTTTTGACAACCCAGATTTCGGGTTCCTGGTATTACCAATTTGGGAAATGAACTTTTCTGAATTGGTCTTTTCTGGTCTTGGTTTTTTTGTATAATATCAAGTGACGGGACGAACAATTCGTGCGCCTGATGGTAAGCTACACGCCTGTCCATAACAGTTGCAGGGCCACTCAGCTCTTTAAATCGCAAAGATCTGAGGGGCACTGTCACTGCGCCCGTCACCCTGAGACATAAGTTGACATGTCCGATGTGCCTGTAATTTCACTAGCACCCTTACCCTTCAAAACCGGAACACTGTAATGCTGACATTACTCCTTGGCGGCAGAAATAGATAACGTGATACTTATAGTACCGAACACTATCTTGTTTTAATTTCTAATTCCTCTTATTCAGGCTATAGGCCACATCTCCGGAGGGCACATAAACCCAGCTGTAACAGCTGGTATGCTCGCAACGGGTCGCATCAAAGTAGCGCGTGCTGTCCTCTACGTCATCGCTCAGTGCGCAGGCGCCGCTGCTGGCTCCGGACTCTTGAAGGCTCTCACACCTGAGCGTGCAGCTGGAAAACTTGGCACTACAGGACTGGGCAGTGACGTCACTGAGCTACAGGGCTTCGGTATCGAGTTCTTCCTTGGATTTATTCTGGTCTTCGTTGTTTGTGGGGTAAGTCCGTATGTTTCGAAAATTTATAAACAGTGTTATTTGTAAAATACTAGCAACCTCCAAGGGTTATATTACTTACTATCAACATAAGCAACAATTTATATTCCATTACTTTTGATAATTCATCAGGTGTTACTTACGTACAAAAATAATAATATTTAAATAACCTCTTTCCAACAAAAAAAGAATCATCAAAATCGGTTCACAAAAAATACATGCAGTCGAATTGAGAACCTCCTCCTTTTTTTGAAGTCAGTTAATAACAACGTTCGTATTAACCATTTGCCACATATATACCAATGACTCTACCATGAGATTACAGTAACAATTATCAGTAACGACCGCGTAAAATGTTTATACACAAAATGTTGTTTCTTCTGGCTACCGCTAGAGGTGCTGTATAATTTGCCATACAAAATTGTGAAGTAATTTACACGGTCGCTAGCGACAACTGTTACATCGAAATCAAAAGACGATTGCAGTCATTTTTTTTCAAATTAAACGTTCTGGTTCATATATATGGCCAAAGGTTCATAATATGAACTTAATAATATTTGTACCTTTTTTAGCGTCGTAGGTCAATCGTTCCTCTAAATATGTCCATGGGTGTAAATATGACTAACACAGAGTTTCCCAAACTTTTTGTCTTGTAAACCATGTGTCAATTTTGCATACCCCCTGCCTATATGATTTTTTTACGAATACATCGAATTAAAACCTGTTTTTGACAGCTGACACAATGTTACTCACTATCTAGTGAGAAACTTTACAAAATAAAACACATGTAAGTTTTATACATTTATTTAACTGAATATACACTTATTAAAGATGTCTGAGAGAGGTATTTTTTTAAAATATTTGATTACCCTATCACAATTAAATAAAATCCCTAGACACTTTTCGTGTATGCAGCTTATTTTGGTTGTTGTGGAACGTTTATTTTATAGGCAATTTTTGTCTTTCTTAAGAAAGTATTGCGTAGTACATAGGTACTATGTATGTAATATAGATTATTCCGTTTATGTAAAGTTAAAATTTTGGTCACGATCTGCCTAAATGGATAGCTCTATTGTGGATTCCCGTTAATGTCTCATTTTTGTTTTCGCTCACATGGACATCTTGTTGGTCGGAGTGGACCCCTGGGGGTCGATATAGATCGCTTTGAGAATCAACGACCTAACATAATGTCTTCGGCATCCGATCTATTAAAATTCGACACGTTTCTTTCTTTAAAAACAAACTAAATAAATGCGTGGGAGTCCAAATGGCATGATATTCAAACTACGCGATGGTCCTCGATTAGTTACGACAATATACATTCAATAACAGTAGCCTATTTTCGAATGAATCTGAGTGGTATTACAAAATCATGGATTTCGTGACAGCGCGGTATTAGTATGGTCGATCAGGTAATCTGTCCTCTTGAACGGTTGAAACTATTCGAGCATTGAATAGTGTTTCGCTTATTAACAATTCATGGTCATTGTTGAGTAATCAGATTCATTTTTAAAAATGTCGCATTTTTTCGTAAAAACCAGTATTTATATAGCAAATATTTCAAAACGGGAATAAACTCGGCGGTAGAATATTCATCCACACTCACCATGTTTTTCAAAATTCCACCACATGCCCCACCAACGGTCTCCCTATTCCGTCACGGAAGCCGTATTTACGGAAAGTCTAAAAGTGTACACAGAGTTATTTGTAAAATACTACCAGTTCACAGGACTGCGTTACTAATAGGTATCATAAACAACAACTTTTGTTCCACGATTTTTTACAAAACAAATAAATAAACTTTTGTCTGTTGACTATATGTATATGACAGTTTTTAAATCGGTACCTACTTGATAATATGGAAGTGAGTTGAAATACAAGCGTCCGCACCGACGATCCCCGCCACTGCGCCTGCGTTGTGCATCGGACTACGTCCGATTCGAGAAATGACGGGCCGACATGTCACAGGTGTCCGAAGTGTCATTTTATCTGTAAGTGTACAAGCGATCGTATTTTCTAGGATTCGAACGGACTTAGTGCACAAATGAAGTCTATTCGAAGTCTAAGGAAAAGAATACGAATCGGAAGCAGCGCGCAAAAGCGCTTACGCTGTGCTTTCTTTTGTTACCGCACAGAGTTATCACCGTTTAGGGCGATCTATTTAAATATTTTCATTTTTGTACGAAAGTAAAATCATATGAATTATTGAAAGTCGTGGAACAAAAGTTGTTGTTTACGATGTTAGTAATATAGTCCTGCGAGGTTGTTAATATTTTACAAATAACCCTGTTTATTTATATGCAACCTAGAATACCCTAGAATATTGAATCAAAGTCAAAGTCAATGTCAAATAATTATTTATTCCATAGGTTAAATTTTTACACTACACTGACCTCTCTGAGAAGTGCGAGCAAGAAACTCTAGGGATCGCTCTTTTCAAATAAACTTAAATGCTATAGAATAAACGCATTTTGAATTATATTTGTGTGGAATCTAGACTCACGTTGTCTTTCCATACATCTTTATCTAATACATAGTCTACAATTTTGTAGTATGACTTTTCAATTAAAATACTTTCAATGTAAGTTTTAGACTTAGGAAATGGTAATCTTAATATCGCACTGTTAATACAATAGTATATAAACTCAAAAAGTGTATTTTTTCAGAATCGATGAAAAACGAATTATTCACTTCTCGTGAAAGGTTATTAAAATGTATGTACAAGTTAAAATTTATTACAGACATCTAAATAATTTCCTACTTGCTATTAAATATACAAATAAAAAGAAAAACATAATCTAATAAATTTTTGAGTAAGGACTATTTTGTTCAGAACTAGCTCACGAAAAGTTTGTCTCATTTTGAGTTAAGTAGATGTTATATTTTAATTGTTCTTATAACATCCTAACGACGGTTTTATTGACGTGTAGAGAATCAAAATTTACGTTCAGCCGTAGTATAATCTTGAATTTTACATATTTTGAGATACAACACTATTGCAATAGCAGTGCGATATATGCTCCGGAATCTTATTGTAAAAACATACGAGTATACAGTTCCCCATAAACGAATCGTTTATCTCAGTTAAACGAAATCCTAGTACCATGAATTTGGACTTCTTTTTTATAATAAACTTGATTAATATATAAATAAACAAATCTTAGACACCATCATATACGTTGCTCTGATCCCAAAGTAAATAACTAAAGCACTTGTGTTATGGAAATCAGAAACAACGACGGTACCACAAACACCCAGCCCCGATACAATATAGAAAAGTTAGCTTTCTACACTAACCCGGCCGGGGACCGAACCCGGAACCTCAGAGTTTACGACACCATGAAAATAGGTGTGTAAGCTACTCAACGACGGAGGCCTTCTATTGAAGAAATGTACGAAACAGTAAAAAAAACTATTTAGGAAAGAAACAAAACAAAAGTCACATTGCGTGCTAGATAGCAATTGTATTTAATGATAATTGCTTACATCACCAATAAATGAATTGCTCCCGCGTCAGTAGCTGTACCTACTAAAATAAACTTTTGGGTTTAATAGTAATTGTCGCATTTCGGTATTGTCAAACACGAACCAAACTTCGCATTTTCTTCATGAATTCGTGACAATTTATTTGATTTTTATAGCTTATCTGTTGGCCGTAATTGCTGAAAAGTTCGTCAGGGTTAATGATAATAGTAATAATGAGACAATCCAAAACAATAACGACCTCGGTAACCCAACGGTTTTAACTGTGCGCACTGAATGAGGAAGTCAGTGATTGCAATTTAGGAAATGAACTTTTCTAAATTGATTCTTGTCTGATTGTACTGGAAAGTGCCCCAGAGTGATTGCGTTGCTCTGGTACTCATAGTACAGGGAATTCCATACTTTATGACCAGGGAATTGGTGCGGTTGTGTTGGCACATTATTATTATTATTGTTATCATACCCAGAGATAACTATTTCAGATCAGAATTATAATCAGTAATTTTTTTATAGAAACTTTGTACATTACCTTACAGAAAGCTGTAATTTTAAATACATTACGTCGAATTGTCTGAAAGTTCCTGCAGACAGAAGAAGACAAAATAGGCTCTTATCAGAACACAATCTTGACAAAGATCCCTTGTGAAAGAGTTCGACCAGGGAAGTACTACCACCTTACCTATTTCTGCCGCCAAGCAGTTATGTGAACATTACTGCGTTCCGGTTTTGAAGGGTAAGGGTGCTGCTGAAATACAGGCACATGAAACTAGCGATGATTTCGATATTCGACTCGTTAGTAAGTACTAATCCTGTCCTTCGAATGACAATTTAGTGACCTACTAACTTTCGCATTCGAATAATCTGAATGATCATTCATTACTAATTAGTATTACTAATCTATAGATTCGATAGAGCATTTCTGTCTAGCCCTCTCTGACATGACAGGAATATTTTGATATAGATCTGGTGGAGTTCCAAGTACTTTCGACATAATAAACATTCGAATAGTCCACCCGACTCGAGACGAATGATTGTGCTTGGATTCGACTTAGGCGAATGATTTGCCAATTCGAATAATTAGTATTAGTAACATTGAAAGTCACGCATCGCTACATGGAACTTGTTAACTTGTGTCTCACGGTGACGGGCGCAGTGGCAATGTCACTCAGATCTGTGTGATTTAAAGCTCTGAGTGGCTTTCCAACTGCTATGGATAAGTGTGTCGCTCGCCTCTGGGCGCACGATTTGTTCGTCCCCTCACTTGGTTTCATAAAAAATAAAATTAAAAAAAGGTTTTTAAAACCAGCCAAAAAGCTGAGCAAAACCTAATAATGATAACAATCGTACGATTATAATTAAAAATACGACGATCGAATTCTTACGATTCTTACATTTGTTTTCCAGGTGTGTGATCCCAACAAACCCGACAGCAAAGCCATCGCACCACTTGCTATCGGTCTTACCGTGACGCTAGGTCATCTCCTTGCAGTGGACTACACCGGTTCTGCCATGAACCCAGCTCGATCCTTCGGCTCTGCTGTCGTTGCTAACGACTGGGCTAGTCATTGGGTACGTAACGTTCAGTTATCTAAGCTAACAGGAAGATCTATCCATGTCACGCAACAAAAATATTTATTTTACATTCATATGAAATAAATCTCGAGGAACAAATTCAATTACTTTGCAATAATTAATTCATATACAGATCCGTAGAGAACAAACCTCGGAAAAGAAATAACAATCAAAAATGAAATATACTTACATAAATTCATATATGATTGCATAAGAGACCAAACCTCGAAAAAGTAAACAATAAATGCATGCAAACATCGATTCATATAGGTACAATAGTTTAAGAGAACAAACCTCGAAACAGAAATAACAATGACAAAATAAACTATAAATACATACATACATAAATTCATATACAGTTTCCTAAAAGAATAAACCTCGACAACGATATAACAAAGAAAAAAGTAAACAAAAATACTTAACCTCACAAAATTGATTACTGTTACAGGTGTACTGGGCAGGTCCAGTAGCAGGTGGAATTGCAGGAGCTCTGTTGTACGTACACGGCTTCTCGGCCCCCCCTCTAGACAACATCACCCCGCCGAGGTACAGGGCTGTCGCTGGTGACGAGAAAGAAGTATGTACCTACCTTTAGTAAATACAAAACATGTAGATGCCGCCAGGCAGTAATATGAGTATTCCTGCGTCTTGGTTTTGAAGGGGAAGAGTGCTGGTGAAACTACAGGCACAGGGGGCTTGTTAACTTATGTCTCAGGGTGACAGACGCAGTGGCAGTGCCCCTCAGATCTTTGCGATTTCAGGCTCTGAGTGGCACTGCAACTGTTATGGACAGGCGTGTCGCTTACCACCAGGCGCACGACTTGTTCGTTTTGTCACTTGGTATCATAAAACAAAGATGAAACAGATGCTGTTGTTGAAATTTAGCTGGAGGAGAAAGTTTTGTGAATGGCACTAAGTGGACTTGGTAAAAGCTGTAGATTCGTTAGATGGAGATTTGTTAGTAGCAGTAGAGAAAGATTTCGTTCAGAGAAGTACCGACACTATGTAAATAATGTGAGCATTGCTGCGTTCCTGTTGCTGGTGAAACCACAGGCACATGGGACTTGTCAAGTTTATGTCTCAGGGTGGCGTGCGCAGTGCCCCTCAGATCTTTACTATTTAAAACTCTTATCACTGCAACTGTAATAAGAGCGTTTACGCTCTACGTCCGTTTCTTATGGAGGTTTATTCTCGTTCGAAACAATTACTGTCAAATAAATAATACTCGACCAAATTAAAAAACAATGTCCAGTATGTAGCTTCATTCGCATCACGCGTCTTTTCATTTGGTCAAGTATTACTTATTTGGCAGTAATTGTTTCGGACGGATGTCGGACATAGAACGAGAGTACAGGGTCAATGCAAGACGGTCCGAAATGTCTTATATTTTTTCGGATGCGAATCGGACTTAGTGCACACGCGACATCCTCAGTAGGTCCGAGTATTTTAGATTTGTATAGTCTCGGACTTAGAACGAATACGCACCGGATGAAGTGTGCAAACGCGCTTAGAGGTGGAATATTTTTTTTCAAATATAAATGGGACCAATACGTTTGAAAAGAGGGTACCTTCTCTTTCCAACAAAAACAAAATCAATAAAATCGGTTCACAAATACCGGAGTAATCGAGAAATATACACAAAAAAATACAGTCGAATTGAAAACCAATCCTTTTTTGAAGTCGGTTAAAAATTAGCAGACTTGAGGCCCAAGTAACTGGTGTGATTGTTTTGGCGCTGTAAAAAAAATCACCTCTCGTGGATCCCTGCTGCCGAATAATGTAATGATTTATGTAAATGTAGTACGTTTACCCATAAGGACACTACACTCCTCGGAAGAGATAGTTTATCAACCAATTTTCGATTTAAGAGTTTTAAAACTGCTAAGTGCCCCAACCCACCCCCTATCAGCCTTAATTTCTCAATATAATTAAATGAACAAACAATAATTAGATACGTGGTGTTTATGGACAGGCGTGTCGTTAACCACCAGGCACACCAGGCACACCAGGCACCCATCACTTGATGTCTTAAAAAAAGGTGGTTCAAGGCCGTACGTGGTGGCGTTTTTTAATGGGAAAGTTGAGCAGTCATCGTCTGACTGATGACAATGTTAGTGTTGTTAATGCGATGCAGATGTTTGCGATGGATTTTTGGTATCAAACTTCAATACACGAATGTTGATGTTTTTCTATTTCTATCTTTACAAGCGTACTGGACGCCCCGCACCCACTGCATGGACGGTTGAGCAAAGTGTAAGCTATAGTAGATATATACCTTATCGCGGCGAGCAAAGCTTTCTTGGCATCCACTCAATTTGCAGTCTACGAAAGAAATTAATCTAATCATCCAATATGCAAAAAAGTTTTAAACTAGCTTAAAAAAATTATTGAATTATCTCTTGCCACATCAGATTCGAATCCAATCGGATCGAAGGAATTTTTCTTTAGTGGAGTATTTGCATAAAAAATAGATCAAATTGATGGTAGTAAAAAAGTCACGATATTCAATAAAAATTGTATTAAATACAGCGACATCTATGTCAGTCTTCTGGTAGCTGCAAAGTTACAAGTCTAAGGATCGTATTCCAGAACTGTACTAAATGCTCAAGTCAGGATTTGAGCAGACTTGAGTATGATTTCAAGCACTGGAAGTACGACCCTAATGGCAAGGAGTTGAGTATGATTTTCAGTGCTCACTGCAATACTCAAGTCCTGACCTCATTATTGAGTAGAGTTCTAGAATACGACCCTGAGTGTATAACGTTTTGTAAGTTACTCACGGATGGCGCTACGGCAAAAAAGCCGTTTAAATCCAGTACAAAAATCAGGAATAAACACAGAAAAATTCGTTAGATCTGCTGGCTCGATCCGTAGCTCTATTGGTAAGAGCCGCTCTTACCAATTAAGCTACGGATTCTCGACGAGAGCTCGTTGCTTTTAATCCTCCATTTTGGTAAAAGGTGAGTTCTCTACAGCATTTTTACATGGCACTATTAGAATTACTTTAAAATTCAACTTCGACTTCCTAGGTCAGTAGTTTTCTCCTACGATGCAGTAAAACCATTTCCGGAAATCCGGAATTCATAAGTAGTTAATAAATATTTGGTGGTTTTAACAACTCTATGTCGCTCCTTGTAGCTATATCCTATACATGTATCTATATATGTGAAACACCTTTTTCCGATCATGCTAATTACACATAAAAAATATGAGCCAAATCCAGTAATACTGGGAATTAAGAGGGGGTATTATCGACGTGGCTACCGCTCTTAACAACTGAGCTACAGATCGAGTCATCAGCGCCTCTACCACGAGAGTTCTGTGACAATTGTCGCTAGCGACAGCATAAATTACTTCGCAATTTTGCACGGCAACTTATACAGCGCCCCTAGCGGTTACAGGAAGAAACAACATTTTGTTTATAAATATATTTTACACGGTCGCTTGCGATAACTGTCACTGTAATCTCATGGTAGAGACACAGATCTTACAAATTTCTGTATGTGCTTGCTACATCTTTGTATTGTTTTAAATGGCTTTTTCGCCGTAGCGCCACCTTGTGACAAATTTATGAGAGTTATTTCACTGTTTTTTTTTTTTTTTGTTATTTATATTTAATCATACCGGATGAATTCCGATTTCTGGTGATTAGGTAACTACATAGCCCCAAATAACCTACGTTTTTGTTTTCAAACAATATTAAAACATATGTTAAAGATTATAAACTAAAATCTCTCTTGTCATCGGCATCCTCCTTCCGTAACACATTACGGTTGGGTCAGTATGTCGTTCCATTTTTTAAACAATGTTGTTTGTTTGTCACAGCTGAAGCGCCTGGACGGCAAAGCCGAGGATTTGGCCTGAAACAGAGAAGACGGGCGCCCCGTTCGTCCGACCCTTGCGGTGCCCAGAGATACACGTCACTCAACCGTCTACCACCAGCCCTGATCTCGAACCTGACTGGCCTTACCTGCCTTGAGTTAATGTTTAATATGTTCACAAGTCCCTAACTAACAAAAAAAAGCTGTCAAACGCTGCACCCACGTTTTTATCACAGTATAACAAGTCTAAAAATTATTTAAAAAACAAAAACCCGACTGCAAAGATATTTTGCTGGAAAGATAAACAAAAATATTCCCCCTCACTATTTTGATTATTTTTATAGCCTACGACCCTCCCACAATCAAGATTAATCTAACCTAATATCTCAAAATCCATCTAGCTGTTTCGGCTGCACAGCGTGAAAAAATGGACATACATATATTCCTACACTTGAAAAACATAATCCTCCCGCAGTCGGGTAAAAAATAGTTTACTTAAGATACAGGCCTCTAAACAATACTAATTGAAGATTTTTTTTTTCGTATAATTCTTGGCAACACAGAAATAGAACTCTAAAGGAACTACGAGGACAAATTATGGGTCCAGGGAACATAATTACGCATAAATAAATATAGCAGCTAGTATGATATTCTAAGTACCGATTTGTTGGGCCAACAATCGCGTGAACGACAAATTTCAAATGTAATAATATCTAAAATGACAGCTAATAATAACAAAGGTAAATGTGAACAACATCGCAATCACAGTTGAAATATTTTTATTTTAGTTGCATTTCACGAATTGGTTATACAATTTACAGTTCACCGATTTATTGCCCAACAAATTGGAAAGCCTATGGAACATAACAAATTCTAGTAAAAAGTAAGTACGGTAGACACCACCCATGCGACTTGATTTCGGTAAAATTATCACAATATTTCGATCAATGAACTTCATGCCGTCTTTGTTTTCAAATCACGGACAAAATGTCATTTACTAAATAGTAAAAACAACATAGTATACGGAGTTGGGACACTGATCACAAATACTCGAATGTTATTTAACATGCATTTTAAATACAATTCTTTATATTTTCGCTTCTTTTGAAAATTTTAAGTGGCATTCGAAAATTATGTGGTGAATTTAAGAAGTTTTTAATAAAAAATTACCTATACGATGCACGGACAAAAAGACTTTTCCCATCGACAAATAAAAAGGTCTCTTTTAGTCCAAAATGTAAATTATTGCACATCGTTTTAAAAATTTTCGAACAATTTAAAGGCTTCGCGATGTTCGTGATTTAGTGATCACCTCATATGCGCCCGCACACCATGGAAAGAAGCTAATCTGTAGTAACAAAGCATGGCGTAAAATAGCCGGAGCCGGTGTACACTGACAGGGTTGTCATTCCGTAATTGGTTAATGATTAATATAAAAGGGCGGAGCCGGTGTGTGGCTGTCGGCAATCGTCGGCCATGCGAGAACATATGGAAAATCACGAACCGTGTGAGACCGCCTTAATAAAGGATGTAGAATTTAATCTGCGATTTTATATTATACGAATATTATAAGTACATATTAATGTAAGTTTAAAACTTTTTAAATCTTTCTATATAAAATGCTTCAATTTATTCAGCTTTATGAAAATTGTTTTAATAATTTTAATCTCTACAGTGAATCATGTACAACACACCATACGTATGTACGTATAATGCACAAATGTAAAGAATTCGATATGAAATTAGTCCAAACATTGAAAAATCCGAACGTCAATTATGTGTTCAAACTGTCTTCGCATGAATGAACTTTGGTATATAATCTATGTAAGTTGAGGAAAACCATTAAACGAAACTCCGCTAACCACACAAAAGTAATATTAAATTTATGTAAAAGCACACAAGTTATATCTTGACTTCTACACAATATTAAAATTTAATATTTCTACTGAACTTAAACGTTAACCGCCATTGCACTGATACTGTCGTCTTACAACAGAGATGAAACTATAGGAAAGAACAATTCTTTGAACCCATTGCTTTCTTTTGGATCCTTCGTTGTCGAGTAATATTTATTTAGTACCTGCCTGATTTAGTTTTTTTAATGGTTTTCTTAAACTTGCTAAGTTAAGAACAAAATGCAATTATAAATATGATATGATTATGAATGTGTAATTTAATGTAAGGAGAAAGAGAATTAAAACTTACTTATATTTATATGGTGTTTCATTCGTGTTTGATAATTAAAACTAGGTTTTTCATAATTAATTTAATGAACAAGTTTATTAATACATATTTTTTTGCAAATTATATTTATAAAATAAAATTATTATACAACAAAGTTACACTAAAGCCACTAAATGACCTTAACAAATTAGCACTGATTATTAAGTTGCGAACCAATTGCAAATAATATTGTTTCTAGCATTCATTCAAAATGCAAATAGATTAAATAATAAAATAATAAATACTTCACTAGAAATAACTTGATCAGTCTTGAGAACAATTCTTTGGACTAGTCAGCATTAACAAAATCGTCCTTATGGAAAGGGTATTTTCATGTAACACTGTTAAAACGACCCTTATTTTCAAAGTGCCAACTTCAATTAAAAAAATAAACTTTCATTTAATAATCGTAAAGGCTTAATGTGTTATAATTGTTGGAACAAATGATGAATTTTATCTAGAGACAGTAATAGTTTTTATTTACAAGTCTCTTAATTTTAAGCTGATCTCCTCGAACCCGAAGCTTGATAAATGGAAATTTAAAAAAAATACCGACGCAAACAATTTAATTATAAAAGCCAGGAGAGGAGTTTCAAAATGGACACCACCGCAAAGACAACGACATAATCAGAAAATCAAATTATGGAAGAAAAATTAAAATCGAAGTTATTTACTATGGAATATGTTACTTGTATTTTTTTATTTTAATTTGTTAGCCTTAGAATACCTTGTGACATTCACTATAACTTGTTAGGTGTATAACGCATATATACGTATGCAGCAATTCTTTTTTTTATCAAACGTTTTATTGGTTTCAGTTGTACATAACTATTTTATTTAATTATTATTTTTTCTTTTGTTATTTATTATTGAAATGGATCACATAGTAATTAGTGGTTAACGGTGTTGGTGACACAATCACTACATATTTACTGTAAATTAGTTAAAAGTTGTAATTGTGCCTACTAAACAACAATCGTTGACCCAAATAAATTAAAAAAGTATGTCCCGAAAGACGAAAAATTACTGCTATTCATATATTCGCGCCAAAAAACTGCTAGATACAAATGGGACTTTTCTTTTTCTTAGTTTTTTATTTAAACTTTAAAAAACAAAATATTATTTGTATAAATGTTTGATCATGAAATAAAGAGAAAACATAGCGGCCACGACCCCGTTGTGAATGTTTATTTTGTTAAGCAAACAATTTATTAACAATCTGAAACAACAATTATTGCTTTACGAATTTTTTTATACTTACACAATTTTTTAAAATTTAATATACAGGCTGATAAAAAAAACCACTGACCATTTTAAAGGAGCAACTATATAATGAAAAAAAAATACGTGTTTCGCTTTTTTTTTCAAATACTTAACAAATAAACAAGTTATGACGTCTCAGTTTTCCAAAACTTATGAACAATATAAACACCCGACGATTAACAGATACTGTTGCTATAGACAACAACAACGTTGTGGGGCAATGGGTGGAGTCAGCGCGCGAGTTTATGTATTTGACAGACAACAAACTACTAAAGTAACGCGCGATGCGTTAGCGCAGGTTTGTCGTCACGCGGCGCGCCGTGCTGGCGCCTAAGCGTCTAAACAGCTCGGCGCCGATAGCACAATTTTATTTACTATTTTTAGGTAACTACGCGTTAGGAATTAATGGGAAATATTAATATCAAAAAATCTTATACATCTTACATATCTTATACACAGAAAAAAAGGGACAGTGATTTTTTTTATCAGCCTGTAGTCACACACTCATACACTTTTATAACTATAAATCTCAACAATTTGATCACCTAACTAAATTTTATTAGCTTAATCTATGTACAATACTATGTATGTAACATTTTATTTATTCTTATTGTCGTAATTATAACTAGCTACCTAATAGACTGTATACGAATAATGTACGATGCGTATGAGCACAACCAGAATATAATTTATACAAATGCAAAGTCGAGACGTAGCGAGTCGGCTATTGGTTATTTCGCCACCCAGTACATTTAATCCAGGATTATTGATACATAATAAATATTTCAATCTTAGTGCTTTTTGTTCTTTCGACTGCTAGTCATTCGCGAGTTTACTTTCTTTGCAAAAAATACAACATGTCACAAGAATAAACGGTAAATTCTGCATTAACGAATGATAATAAAATAAAGTCGTCGGCTAAATACGAAACCTCGTAACTCCGTTTTTGGACGAAATCCCTTTTTTGCTATTGAAGCGCAATATCAGGCAATTAAAGTTAAAATATTATTTATAGACCCTTTTTTAGTTACAAAAATATAGGTATAATCATATATTTCTATTAATTGATTCTTTTGTCAACTCAAAAGTTTACATTAATGTAGGGAGGAGGTTTACGTATTTCGCCGGCGAAATTCAACAATTGCTGATGTTAATTGTTCGAAAATAAATAAGAAATACAAAATATCAAATTGTTCAATTATGTACTTATTTCGAATATCCTCCTAAAGCCGCCAAAATGTACATAGTGTTTATCAAAATTATGTACATCAAAATGTACATAATTTGAAGCGAATTAGACCTAAATAATATTACCCCTATGATCACGTAAACGCCCAGTGTAGTACGTTATAAAGAAAATATCGCATTCAAATTTAGCGCTCTATATCCATTCTGTGACTATAGGGTATTTAGAAAAATACGTTTTATATACAAAACTGAGGGCATACTTACTTGGGCCTGAAGTAATTATATTTAGTACATTTTAATATACATTAGTTTGCTGCGTCTTAGGTTATATTTTTTTAAATATTGTAAATGCATTCTTAAACTAATAAGTAACAAACTTCTTGTTCAAGAAAACTAAAAATGATGTATCAAAAATAAACATACAATACATAAAACTATTTACAATTCTATTGACAACTTTACACAGAATACGCAACAAAAAATAGTTGTTGTTGCATTCGTAGTCAACTTATTCACTATGTTTTGAGTTCCATTTTGACCAGATTTCATGATAGCTTTTATCATAGACAAGATATAGTAACACTCATTTTTCGATGAGTAGCTAATATTCTAGTGAAGCCCATTGTACCAAAACGGAGAAAGAGAAATGTCACAGCCAATAGAATGTCTTTATATTTAATTTAATAATAAATAAATATTAGACATGACGTACGTTGCTATGGTGCCAAAGTAGCTAAAGCCTTGTGCTAATGGAAATTGGAAACAACGACGATACCACAAACAGCCAGACCCGAGACCAATATAGAAAAGTTACTTCATTGAACCCGAGACCTCTGTGATGGCGACAACATGGAAACCGGTGTGCAACCCACTCGACGACAAGGTCGTGAAAATAATTTTTTTTTTTTGTTCTCGTCTACTCTCTTCTCTGCTTTCAGAATGCCTTAGTATTAATAGCGTGCCTTGTTACAAGCAAATGCTCGCAGGGAAGGAGCGCCCTTAAAGTGACGCAAACGCGCGATTGCATCGCTAGACTTGTGATTTATAGGCGACTGCATCGATGCAAACACGTGATTGCATCGATACAATCGCTTATAAAACACAAGTGTAGCGATGCAATCTCGCATCGTTTGCATCGCTGCTTAAAATCGCGCGTGTGTGTAAAGGTAGACGATTAGCTACTGTTACCTGATACATAACAGTTACCTGATATTATTTATTTTTATCGGGATAAAAATAGAACTAAGCCAATGTAACAAAAAAAAATGTGACCTGGAATGATTTGTTCCCACTAGTTTTTCTATTATTCTTAAAATATAATTTACACACATTTTTGTCCCAGAAGTTCTACAATAGAACTACTCAATAGGACTATTGGGAGCGAACCCTCCGAACCAAGGCCAACAGAGTAAACAACCTTACCTAATTACCCGACTTATTAAAGGGCACATCGTAAAGAAGTTGCCAAAGTATTAAAATTATCTAATCAGAGATTAGTTTGCATCACATGCCACTTGCCAATGATATTGCACCGTATAAAGGAATTATGAAAACAGAAGGCGATCATGCATTCTTGCCATTTGCATTGTATCGTGACATATTAACTTTTTCCCCCGAGTCGGTACAAAAAAGAGTGACTACAATACGATAACTCTTGACAGCCGCGTGTTTGCAGTATCTCTATGTTAAGTGTGCTTTCTAAAATAGGCAATCGGACAATAAATCAGAAAAAATCTAAAGTGTACTTAGAATGTTTGTAAAATAAAAACGATGATTCAATCAATATTTTTGTGAAATAATAATGATTTATATTCTTAAATCAATAGATAAAATATATTGTAATATTTTCAATCTCTTATAAACACAAAACACACCCGTGATGTCATACGTAGGAAAACAAAGAAACGTCTCTGCATTCACTGTTCGCGTATTATCTCGTTTTTTCTTTATCACTTTTTAACTAAAAACTGTACAAATTTTGGATTAAGGATTGTAATCAACGTTGCCTAGGTTGTTTACCTGCCAATGATGTCACGTGTTCTAAGGTGACACGTGGTGTCATTTCAGCGGCAATTTTTGTAACTAGTTAATTTTTGAGGGCTTGAAATTATGATTAATTACAAATGCTTTCTGAAAAGTTGTCCGAATCACAATTAAAGATTTTTAAATTGTCGTCTGCCGGTAACCTACGGAAAGCAGCATACAAGGCTACACATTGACGTATTTGTTCCGTTGCTCTGAAGGCAATATTCGAAGAAAAGTATGTAGCTTCATGTACCGTTAACTGTACTTATATTGTCACGGCAACTTATTTGACATGACACATCCCGTAGAACATTATACTACATAATGTTACTCCTCATACTATTTCTAAATTGCAAACTAATGAGATGCTAAAACAATGAGTGTTAAATAAACTTAAAGCATTTCTGTTTATCGTGGGGTATTCGCGTTTTGAACAAGACGGAGTCTGCGCGATACTGTGTGGATAGCAGAGGCGTGTAGCCCATCACCTGTTTGAAAAAAAAACAATGTTACTATGTGTATACGAGCAAGCACAGTGAAGAAATAATTGCAATTATAGAGCATTATTTGCCAAAGAAATGTATTTAAACAAACAATAGGATTTTCAATAAAATTTACAATAAAAGAAGCGACATCTCTAGCTCATCTCTAGTAGCTGTAAAGGTATGTGCCTGAATGAAGAAAAACTTTCAAAAATAATCTTTTAAATTTTTGTGCCAACCCTGTCCACGGGCTGATCTGAAGTCAGGATCCCTGTGCTTGCACAAATTGTAGTGCCCTCCCATAAAAGTTATATATAAATACTATCTGACACTTTTTAGATCTGTATTTGGTAGTAAGGTTGTAAATTCAAATGTGCGAGCGTCCTCCCCGACGACCCCCACCCCCGCTCCTGCATTGTATCGCACTGTTATCAGTGTCCAGAAGGAGCTATTCAAATATTTTTATTTTTGTACAAAAATAAAATCTGATGAATTATTAAAAGTCACGAAACAAAAGTTGGCCTTTATTCCCAGTAGTTCCACGTACTCAGTTCCACGTGGAACAACTGTAACCTTAAAATATCATATTTATTCCCATTAGTTCCATGTAATTTGAAACTATTTTTTTACACCTGACTTTTCTTCTTCGTCAGATGTTTAGGAGTTCATTAACTCCATTTCTAAGATGGATAATATATTGCAATCTTTAAATGCAGAACATGCTATAATAAAACACTCTTTCATGTTTACTTTTAGTTAGTAATATAGACCTGTGAAGTTGTAAGTATTTTTTACAAATAAACCAGTATTTTACACAAAATACATTTTGTTTCATCATGAATGTAATACTCGGAAGATAATATTATGTCCTCCAAAATTAATCTTCCAGATCATATCTGTGGAACAATGACTTAAGGACTTACGTTTAATAGCATAAACGTCATCCGTAATGCTCATCTTTTGGTTTGATAAAGTAAATGCATAGTATAACAAGACAAGCAGTGTGTGACGATACGACCTCCTTCATCTCCATCCCACGTTTTTATCACCCTCTTTAGTGGTTCCTGGGGACAAACTCCCGTTCTCCGTCCGGAACATTTACTGTCAAATAAGTAATACTCCACCAAGTTAGAAGACGCACGATTGGAATGAAGCTTCATAGTAGTATCAAATAATCTCGACATTTTTCTTTTTGATTTGGTCGAATATTACTTATTTGAAAGTAATTGCTTTGGATGGACGAGAGTAGACCCCCTGGCCACTTTTAAAATTTTGAGTCGTTCTCGAATTTCTTTTCCTTCATTATTCTAACGTTGTTGGTTCGTTCATCACTATCATCAAAATTCTTGAAGCGAGAGGACGTGCTCATTTACCATTATGTAAAACTCCAACTCCCCCTACACTGTTTTTAAAGCATTAGATTTATTTATATATATATATATGCATACATATAGGGGTAAGTACCTGAACTTTCGACTGTTTAGTACAAGTAGGAAGTGTTTTATATTGTTTGTACCTTTTTAAAATCATTGTATTATTTCGTTAGTCTTTATTTTCCTCTTCCAATAAATTTACGTGGAACGTGCCTTCTCTAAGGTTAGGCTACAAGAGTAACTCCATACAAACGGTTCGTATGTGTGTGCCGCCGTGCGTGTACGGAATACAGCATGCAAAAACAGAGTAATTTTGAAAACCGGTAATTAATTATTGGTTATTCGGGTTTTTTTGGATATTTTTCTGTTGTCACCAAAATAATTATTTAAAATAGTCAAAAAACTAAAATGACATAAAATAAGTGTCGTTTAAGAATTCACAGCTACTGAGATTAATCTGGAATTATAATTAAAAAAAAAAAAACAAATCGATAACAGCCCAAATATTCTAAAATAAATATGCATATTTAGAAACAAGCAATTAAAGATTTTCTTTTTCAGTTTATATGGTGATGTCAGCGTTGATGTACTGTAGACAAGTACCCGAGTTCTTAGTATTTAGTTAACGTTTATTAATCTTTATTAATCACGATGCGATGATATTATGAGCTGCGAGTTTACATTTTAATAGTTTTAAGACAAAACCAAAAATGTTATAATTATTAATACAAAGATGGAACACTCAGAAAAAATTCCTTCGATCCGGCCGGATTCGAACCGACGTCTTCTAGCATACCGTGCCAGACGCTATACCAACTAAGCTATGGAACGAATCAGCGAACCTCACGAATTTTTCTATGTGTTTGTTGTCGTATCTTTGTATCTGACTTTTTCAACGATTTTTTAGCCGTAGCGCCATCTATGAGAAATCTTAAGTGTTTCGTAATGGAGTAATTTCACATAAAAAATAATTGAATATCAATTCAATAAAAATTTAATTAATACAGTGAATAGCGATATCTCTCGCCAGGACTGGTAGCTGTAAAGGTACTAACTGGGTGATAAATCTGTCATAGATTTCTCATAGATGGCGCTACGACTAAAAAGTCGTTGAAAGACCAAGTACAAAGACACGACGCAAGCACATAGAAGAATTCGTGAGGTCCGTTGGTTCGTTCCGTGGCTTAGTTGGTATAGCGTCTGGCACGGTATGCAAGAGGACGTCGGTTCGAATCCGACCGGATCGAAGGAATTTTTTCTGAGTGTTTTTTCTGAGTGTTCGATCTTTGTAATAATAATTATAACAAACTAGTGGAGTAATTTCACAAAAAATAATTGAATATCAATTCAATAAAAATTTAAAAACCTAAAATCCTAAGCCCGGGTATTCCTTAGCTATAAACCGGTTCCCAAAATGGGCGGTTACTCGGTTTTTTTCGGTTAACCGAGTAAGCGGTTTGCATGCTCTAGTACGGACACAAACATTTGCACAATCTCGCGGTGCACTCGCGTTACATAGCGCGATCGCCGACGCGAAACGCACAATGTCATTTTCGCTCTTATCACACGGATATAAAGATTTTTCTGACCGGCTTAATGCGATTCCGTGTCGATAAGTGTAGTGACTCCCTTGTCTTATTTTACTATGGTAAAGGGCAGTTTAGTGGTTAAAGACACATTAAACTTAAACGACATTTCTGCAACTGTTACCTGAGAGAAGAACTGTATGCATTTATGCCTTTCGTGGAAGTGGGTTTCATCAGACGACAAAGTGACCGGACAGCCGGGACACCTGAAGGTCCATCTCGATGTGACCTGCAGAAAATGATTGCAATTAATATGGAATACAAGACAATAACACTATGTGTAGAACATCATTCTTTTTTTGTTCGAAATACTTAACCTACATCTCTGACTTATAGATATAACTGACTGGAAGGGGTTGGGTTATTTTATTGATTATCATGACTTTTCACACCATGACATTCATATTTTTTTTGTATTCAATAATAATTAAAAACTAGTCGAGTGTTTCACACATAAATAACAACATCAATCAGTAAAATAGAATATTGCAATCATATAGCGGCATCTCAGTCTCTGCTAGCTGTAAAGATACCCGGGAGAAGAAACTTTCATAAGTTTCTCACCAATGGCGCCAAGGCAAAAAGGCCGCTTTAACCCAGATCTGCATCAAACACAGATAAATTCGTAAGATTTGATGACTCGGTGTGTAATATAACGTAGCTCAGTAGGTAAGACCGGTAGCCTCGGTTAGGCAACAGACGCGGGTTCAAGATCAGTCAGACGGAAAGAATTTTTCTTTGTTTGGATGAGAAGAAGTACCATTAGTTTGGAATCCAATGTTTCGTCTGATAAAAATTCCAAGTAAACATAAAACTGCGGTACTACTTATTACATGTTTTAATTTATATATTCCTTTCCTTCCTTACATACAATTAATCAATATCATTTAGCAAATCCATATCGTTAAAAATATTTTGTAAAGCTTATGTAACGCAAATTGGAATGTGCTTTGGTCAAATAAAAATAAAGTATTTCAATTAATAAATTTTGCAACTTTAATGAAAAATAAGGTGGTTTGGATTAATAATTGACGAAATTAGACCCCAAGTCCACGTTTTGTAAATCATCTAAGTTGTGTGTCGATAGAATGTCAAGGGCAAGATTTCGTACGTTTGGTTGTTCTGCTCTTGGCACGCCAATGGCGTAGTGTATTAATATTATATATTGATCTGAAGACAGGTCAGCCACGAGCTTGATATCGGGATGGACTACTTCGGCATACTTACGATCGCGGGTCGTACCTAGGACAAGGATTACACCCTTTCCGTGTACAGTTTTTGTGAAACAAGAATGTTAGTACTTGGAATCGAGTATATAACCAGAAATAGAGAAGAAATGTCATTCAATTTGTTTGAAACCTATTCTGCCATATCATTACTATGACAACTGCGCTCTGATTGAACGGGTGTCGTTAATTGTTTCACTTCAAATCGAACAGTTAACTTGAGCTTTGCTATAATGGACGAAAATTGCAAAATTACATATTTAATATTTATTTACCGATGAAATTCGATTCCGTTTGTTTTGTAACTAGATGTTTTGCTGTTTTCCCCCCACATCACCAAATGTAACAGCACGCCATTGTTAGAGATATTTTCTGTATTATAAAAAAAAAACGCACACACTCAACATAGCCCCGCACTAGGGAAAACCCTGTGTCGCGGGTGCCATGGACACACACATATACAACCACAAATTACACCCAAACTCACGAGAGAAATAATTGTAGGCCATACAACTATTTCTCCCGGCCCGGGAATCGAACCTGGGACCTCTGCGTGGCAGTCCGGCATGGTAACCGTTCGGCCACGGAGGCAGTTAAAATATTTACAGTACTTACAGAATATTTTTGGAATATACGGAGACGTACACACAGGTCAGTTGTTGGCGCTGTCTATATTTCAGTGCAAACGAGAATTGATATTTATAAGTGATGTATCACTGATGAGTTACCATGAATGTATGGCCCTTATTTCGTCTCTATTTCTGGTTATATACTCGATGGTACTTGGGGTTGGTTAGAAATCAAAGCATTACGGATAAAGGAGTATTACCTTGACAGGCGGCTTTCTTGTTATATGCGCGACAAGGAAATTCATGGCGATGTCTTCGCAGTTCATGTACTCGTCGACGTAATCCCTTACAGCGGCCGGTAACGCACGCCAGTACGCCCACATGTAATACCGGTGGATGAACGCTGCGCCTGTTAGCACCATACTCAACTCGCAACTGCGGGAATGGTTAAATAATATTTTCAATTCTCATTCTGTAAAAGTACGTCTTTATAGCCTTACATAGCGGGCAGTAAAGTGCATCCTTTAATCCCCAGGGAGTAAAAAGCCAGCCAGAACGCTCGATTTTAGTTCTGTGCCTTTTCCGCATAAGTTTTTTTCACTTTTACCGCGAGAACATCAGAATTTTGGTTCGTAATTTTATTGTATAGCAAAAACGACTGAAATTTTTTTCAATCGCGATAAGTGTGCTTTAACAAAACATCACAAACAACAACTTTTCAGGATTAATATAGGAAATGTGCTTGTTTGTGTGGTATACTATCAGAAATTTCTTTTATGAAGCGCTTTGACTGCAATAGTACTTATAACATTACCGCGACTATAGGTCTGAGGAGCTTAAAAGAGTAAATGGCAAATTGACTCTACTATTTGTTAACTTGCATTACGTACCTGTAATTTGAATTGTACAGAAAACCGTTGTTGAAGTTGAGATCCCAGGCGTGATAGCGGCCGGGGAAACCGACGATTCTGTCCCTATGCTCACGCCACACTCTGTAAGAAATTGGAACTTATCAAGAAAGTATAAACAGATTCCACCGTGAAATTTTAGCAGCCGTACAGCTCCTTATTAAAGAGTTCGTCCAGGGAAGTACTGCCACTTTACCTGCTTCAGCTGCCAAACAGTAATGTGCTGTTGAAAAAACATCAGGCAATGGAACTTGTGAACATTGTTTTTTTTATATATAATACCAAGTAACGTGACGAACAAGTCGTGGGCCTGGTGGCAAGCGACACGCCTGTTCATAACAGTTGCAGTGCTACTCAGAGCTTTACACCGCAAAGACCGGAGGGGCAGTACATAAGTTGACACGTCCCATGTGCCTGTAATTTCACCAACTGTCTCAAGGTGACTGGCGCAGTGGCAATGCCCCTCATAATGCCCCCCATTTAAAGCCTTAAGTGGCACTGCAACTGTTATGGACAGGCAAATCGCTTGCCACCAGGTCGACTTGTCTGTCTCGTCAATCAATATCATAAAACAAACGTTCTCAGTGTCATTTTCTTGAAAATTCCGCAATCAATTTCTAATATAAGATTAATCCCAGTTTATACAACATCTACGAGAATTTTGGAGAATTTCAATTAGCTGTAACCGACTATCGAAAATTTCATGGTCACCCTAAAATGTTGATATTTTTAGGATGACCATGAAACTGGACAGGTGCTATAATGTTCCCATGACTTACGGACTTAAATGTCTTGTACGTACCGGAAAGCAAAAACAATCTCGTCGTGTCTTAAATGCGCGTCATCGTCCACACACAGCACGGCCTCAGTATCGATTAGGTGGTACGGCAAGAAGCGGTTGTTGAGAGAGTTACGAGCGGCGCGAACGACAGCAACTGGAGCGCCGCTTTCCGGCCACGCCGCCATGCTTGGACCGGTAACACCGTTCCAGACGACTACTACCTACCAAAGAATATCGTATTTTTCCCAATGCAAGTTGAATAGAAATCGCAGGGAGAAAATAAGCATAGTTTCACTGTGCCCGGTCAAACATTAAGCGTACAAACACCTCTCTGTTGACTAGCATGCATTGAATAATACGAGTAATAAATATACAAAATTTTGTTTGTACTTTTAACTAGTGTTGCGTTACAAACTATTTGGTTTGTGACTTTTATTGAGATTCACATTTGACACGTCGAGACACGTCTCTGATACAAACATTGGTACGGCATTACTAGTGGTAGCATTTTGTTGTTCCAATTAATTTTATAATTATAATTATCGACGTATATTTACCAAGATAATTATCGTGATTATTATCAAAGATAATTATCAGTTCGAACCCTCATTTTATGTCACTTACCTTATTAAGATAGGGAAGCCCTCTTAACCGGGCAAGTGCCGCGGCAAGGACTGCCTCGCGTTCGTACGTGAGTATGACGATGGTGAATTGTTCACGCGGACGGTCGCCACCTAAAGCCTCGCTCAATTCCCGCCCTGCACCCCCCGCTCCCGCGCCCAGGGGCCGGAATCCCGCAGCTGATCCTATGAAGCGGGCTTCTGATGTCACAGGCGGATCCCAGGGCAACTGCGGATACAACGTAAACGGTTCCCCCCACTCGTTCCACATCTCGTACCCCTGTAGCAGCGCCACGGTGTAGTTCCTTTTGAAGGTCGGGCTAGGGTAAGGCGCCTCCAATGGCCCCAGCGTTTCCTCCGGCTCTGAGTCCATCGCTGGTGGCTCCACCTTCAACGGGTAATACGACTCATTGAACGCTGGCGCCCCAATTATAGGCACGGCAGGCCTTGGCGGTATATTTAATCTCGTTCGAATCACTGCCAGTAGTGAATCCACACTCGCTTGCACAGAACTCAGGTATCTCTCCCACAGTACTCGTCCCTGTCGTCTAAATGCTAGAAGATCTGCGTCGGTCATCGCTCGCAAAAGAAAATGCAATTCGGTGACCCGCGCCTTCGGAAGCAACATCGTCGCTCTTCGCCAGTCGAGTACTTCATCGTAAGGTAATCGAATACGGTCACCTCCGAGGATTACCGGTATCGCCCCCGATCTTAATGCTTCGTAAAGCCTTGCTTGAAGCAATGCCGTAGTTGCGTAGGTTCTGTCAGCAGGGGCTAAAATTAACACAAACGTAGAGTCACGTAGTATTGATCGCCGCGATCGATCTGTACCACATAGTGCCCAGTCTCCAATGGCCAACACCGCTCGACGTTCCACAGGAGGGTCACATTCGAATTGAAGATAAAACACATCAGAAGGTGGCGCAGATTTCGCTGTTTTCTGGAGGAAGTCCATCAACGATTTGTCGTCGTCTTTCACGGTACCGGTGGCTGGTGTTTGGGAACCCTGAAAACTAAAAATTGATAATTTACTACAAAAAATATTCATACACTTTTGTCATTTCACATGTTGGATAAACCCACCTTAGTATGTACTTTCGTCTAGCTGGAGCTATCGAAGCACAATCCGCCCACACGTCTCCACCTGGTGGACCAAGTGCGGGAGGAGTGATTAGATCGAAGCCAGGTCGAAACTGATCCAGTGTAAATGTAGACTGCGCAATCATGGCCCTTCCGGTGGACGTGCCTCGGAAAGCGTCACCGGAACCTACCGACAGCTCTCGGCGAGCCAAATTCAGCAAAACGTGATTACGACCATCGCCTCCCCAATATGGTAACCTTTTCACAGCAGTCTCATTCAACATCAGTTTATAAATCTCTGTTGTTGATCTGTAACAAAATCAACTTCTTCTTAATATATCTTGGAAAACAGTATAATAATTTAATATGATCATAAACTTTGAAACTTACGAGGGCGTTTTATCAAATGGGAACGCTTCTCCGACAAGCGCGAGGTAGATGCACGCTTCATTGGGATCTCGCGTTAAATGTGTGTTGTAGCCAAGTGTCTGGCGAAGAGTAGTTTTAAGAAAACCATCAACTTCGGCACCAGCTAGTGGGGAGTAGATATCAGGATCATAAAGATAGACTGGAAAACCTGAAGTAAGGGAGCAGCGAGAGTGATCGAAGCAGGAGTGCATGCGGCAGTAGGGTTCTAAGGAGGGACTTACAGAGGGTAAGGTAGGTGGTGGTTGAGAGGGGACAATTTGGGCTGGTGGGGCGATGTCCGGTGAGTCTCTGCGCATGGCATCGAGCTGAGCCAAGCGAGCCTGTTCTGCGGAGGCGCGTAGGCGCATCAACTCAGCGGTGGCGCGAGCATGTTCTGCTTTGACACTGTCGGCCTTAGCGCTGGCCGCCGCTGCCTCGCGCTGCAGCCGCCCGCGGCGGGATTCTAGCTCACGTAACTCTGTTGACACTGAAGCCTAAAAATAACACTGAATTGAGTCTATGTTCTGAAAGGATAAATAATGTTGGGCCTTTTTGAGCAACCACAATAATAAATACTACTGACAACAAATTCTGGACAGATTTTTTACGTTGCCTAGAGAAAAATTACGCCGGAAAGCGATCTTGTCGTCACTGTATATAATTTTAAAGTATGATTATACACATCATACTTTAAAATTGACTTTCTACTAATTCAAATTGAAGAGAAATAATTTTTTTAAATATTTTGTCGGCCCTGTTCCTAACTCCTATTTTTCGAGATACGACAATATCGCTTTCCGGCGTCGAGCTATACTTGCATGACCGTAAATTTTAATTCTTACCTTTATTCTTAACATTTCCTCGATCCTGAGCTTTAAGTCAGCTACATTAGCAGGGGACGGGTCACTGAGTGCTTCCAATGTGTGCCGCATATTGCCACTGCCCTGAGATGTTGTTGTTGTTTCATACTAAAAACAATTACATTCATACTAATAAAAACGACAAAAGTGGAAAACTTACACAACCAGACAATTCACGCAGCCAATATTTAGCACAGAAACCGGTCTCTAAATACAATACTAAAATATAAGCCCTAACAGCAGAATCAAGCTAAACGCAACTTACATCCCTTGACTAGCTGGCAAGTGACTTCTTCACACAAGCTTTTTGAAGATATTGAAATTTTAATTATACAGATCGATATAGCCACAGATTCAGAGCATGACAACGCATTTAGGCGATTATCACACTGCACCGCGCCCCGCGACGAAGCTGCGTTTTAACGTTGTACTGAAGTACCTCAGTTTGTATGGAAAACACGCGCCGTCGAACACACTGACAACGCTTCTCCGCGCGGGAGTGCGGTGCGCGCGATTTTACCGCATCCCCGCGCAGAGGGGTGCGGCGAACCGCAGGCTATGGCACACTGCGCTCCGCACTACCGCGCAGATTTTTGAGCTTAAGGACATGTTCAGTTTTCTACAATAGATCTCGAAGTCGATAAATTTATATTTGCTATTAAAAATGGACCAAATTTATCTTCATATTTTCTTAAAGTTGAAATTATCCATTTCTCGATCTGGTTCGTAAAAAGGGATGTATCCAATATCTTCGGTGTCTTTTTATTTGAGTAAACAAATACCAAATAGACAGTATAACTGCAGCGACCTGAATGAGTTCTGTATTATTAACCATTCTTGTCAAAGAAGGATCTCAGCTACATGTACAATCACTGCGGCGATCAACTGCGAAGCGAGTACTTTAAGTGACGCGGGGCCGCTATTCCGCTGCCCCCGCGCAGATTAAACCGCGCGTTGACGCAGATCTGCGTCTCCGCCACCGCGCGCGTGATTCTGCGTCTCGCGCTCCGTCGTGTGGCGTGGTGCAGTGTGTTAATTGCCTTAGTGTACATATCGGTAAATTATCTCTTAAGTTAAGACATTTGAGTCATTCCATGTTACGCATTTGCCTCCTCTCTTATAACTCAAAGTGCAGTAGATCACATGCCATTGGCATGCCAGGTATTGACTTGGTCTAATATTAGACAATTGCGATATTTATTTTCTCAGTTTTAAACATCCGGTATCTGGCTGGATATTGTACTACTATCCGGTATCCGGCCAGATAGTGAAAATGGGCCGGAAAGCAGATAGTTACCGGATATCCGTTTCATCTCTAGAAAATTCATCAAAATGGGAATAGCGGTTTGGGCGTGACAGTATAGTAACAGATAACTCTGTTACTTTACTGTCACGCCCAAACTTATTTATAATATTAGTTTGGATTTTGGTTAGTGAGCTTAATTTTTTAAATTCACCTCCTGTTTTATTTGCTGTTTCATATGAAATATGATTGAAGAGATCTTATTTCATAGTCATTGTATCTTTCAACATTATGTAAAATGATTTAATGTATCATTCTAATATATAATTTTGGTGAAATTACAAGCACATGGGACTTGTCAACTTATGTCTCAGAGTGTTGGACGCAGTGGCAATGCAAGTGTTAGGGACAAGCGTGTCGCTTATCACCAGACACACGACTTGTTCGACCCCTCAAAACCGGAACACAGTAATGCTAACTAATGTTAGCATTACTCTGCTACTGCTTACTACAGCAGATTACTGCTGCTTAGCAGTAATCTGCTTGGTGGCAGAAATAGGTAAGGTTACTAGGCAGTACTACCCTGGACGAACTCTTTCACAGTAGCAGTAGAGCAACTAATATTTATGTGGTAGGTTATGGGACATGGAGGGGAAGAACTCTAAATATAATAGACAGGATATTTTACTTCATGGAGACATTATTATATTTAAATTGTTATTGAATGGATATTCAATTATTTTTTATGTGAAATTACTCCACTAGTTTGTTATAATTATTAATACAAAGATCGAACACTCAGAAATTCCTTCGATCCGGTCGGATTCGAACCGACGTCTTCTAGCATACCGTGTCAGACGCTATACCAACTAAGCCACGGAACGAATTTTTCTATGTGCTTGTTGTTATTTCTTTGTATTTGGTTTTTCAATGACTTTTTAGACGTAGCACCACCTATGAGAAATCTATGAAACATTTCGTCACCCAGTTACATACCTTTATAGTTACCAGTCCCTTTTTCATTATTATATTTTTAAAGGTAAGTAATACAGCATTCAATGACTTTTAAATAATTGCTTGCCTCACTTGGGAAGTGTATAGACCAAATAAGAACATAATTCTGTATTTCTATCTATCACCTGGCAGTGCCATAGAATGGTAGGTAAACAATGGGGACTTTCACCCAAGATAACACTATGGCTCTACACAGCGGTGATAAGACCCATGATCAGTTACGGCGCGATAGTATGGTGGCCACGAACCAATCTGACGACCGCAACCGACAAGCTGGACAAATTCCAAAGACTAGCTTGCATGGTGACAACGGGTTGCATGAGGACAACTCCAACAGCGGCCATCGAAGCAATGCTGGACCTGCGACCCCTCCCACTATTCATCAGACAGAAAGCGGCGTCAACAGCAGTGCGTCTAAACAGAGCAGGCCTTTGAAAGCACATGAGGACCCCACTTACAGAAATCCTTTACATAACTGTTAAAGAGGAATCGCTACTCTACTGAAGGCGGCTGTGGATAGGATCCCGAAACAATACATTTTTGACAAAAAATACAAGATATAATTGTTTGAAGACTGGACCCAACGATGGACTGAATCCCAGAGAGGTCCACGTCTTCACTGATGGATCAAAAACAAATTCAGGAACAGATACTGGAGTATTCTCAGAAGACCTCAATATCAGGATATCAACACTGCTTGGTGACCACAGCACAGTATTCCAGGCTATTCAGCTATTCGCATGGGTATCAAGTTGGCAGCAGAAGCAATCATAGCGAGAAGTGTAAATAATCTCTCCATTTGAATACTCTCCAACAGCATATCAGTACTTCAAACACTGAACAGCAACGACATAAACTCAGGGCTCATTTACAAATGCCATCAAACACTCATCGAGGTATGTATACACAATCACATAACTCTACAGTGGATTAAAGGACACATAGGCTCACGTGGCAATGATGCAGCAGATGAATTAGCCAAAAAAGACTCAGAGACGGATGCTGTAGGACCAGAACCCACAGTGTCCCTCCCCTCTCGTACCAGTGGTCAAGAACAACTATACACAAAGGTACAAAATCTTTTCAAATAACACATGGACAACCCTTATGGTTTGTAGACAGGCGAGGGAAGCAGTCCCGACGCTCAACGCCAGTCTATTTCGAAAAAAATTATAATGAAACTTAAAAGGCAAAAGCTTCTAACTCTACTGCTGCCCTAATGGGTCGTGGTCCAAACAAGAAACACCTTTCTAATGTAGGTATCACGGACAGCTCTCTATGCAGAGCGTGCATGCAGGGGGAGGAAACGGCCGTGCACATACTACTACAGTGTTCCGGAGTGGTCAACTACAGGGCGAAGTACCTTGGAGTGCCGAGGTCGCTGAAGGAGGTTAAATAGGCGCTTTGTCGTCAAGTTGTGGACACCAGCACCGAGGTGCAACAATACATGACAATTAGAAAAACTAAAATAGATTGCAGAATAGTTTAATAGGCCTTAGTTACCATGTCATGTGTCTTAGAGACACACAGAGTTGCAAACATTTCTGTAATTTTTTTTAATTTAAAATGTTTTAAAAATTATGGATGAACCTAGGGCACTACAATACCAAAATTATTATAGGGACACCATGTGTCTCTAGAACGTGTGCCAGGTTAAAGCAGTCTCTTAGCAGAAAGCAAAGATTATTTCATGAGGTTAGCAATAAAAACAATCTTAATTCCAATAAAAATAGTAATAGAAAGCAATAATTAGATACAACACGTAACATTTGCGCGGTTTTTGAACCTAAAATCCCGGCCGACTCACCCGTAACCAGGGACTGATACCTCTCCCATTTAATAGTTTAAAATTAGTTTTTAGGCAATGGGGGAGGCGAGAATCATAAACAGATGATAATAACTTATTTTCACAGTGCATTAGTTAATAAATATAAACTACATCTTGTATCTGACAAAGTGGTAGTGAATACAAAACGTTAATTTACTTCTATAAAGGTTATTCCTAGGTAATGTGCTAAAATGTTATCAAACTTTTGTTGAGCCTTACCTTCGACAGATAATAATGCGTAACAAGTGGTACAGTGAAAAGAATCACAAAAACACTCATAATAACACGAGAAAGCTTCAAGTGTCCAAGCCAAACACAAAATCGTTTATATAAATGCATTTTTAATTCGGTGAGTCGAGATCTTTATCACTGGCTGAATTATATTGTAATCCAATATTTTAGCATATATATTTATTAAACTACATAGTTAATCAATTAATCTACTACAAAACGAGTGAAACCAACTTCTACTCGCAAACATTGTATGCAACAAACACAATGAATGAAAACATGAAAACCAAGTCAGCCAAAGTGTATTTTATTGAAATCTGTCACTGTCACTGTCACTGTCAAATTTTTGTTATGGCCAGCCGTATTGGGCTTTAGTGTTTTTATTATTTATTGTTCATTAATAAATTGACAATGAACGACTAAATCCAATGAGCACAAAATAATAACTAAATCACTCAGTAGCCGGCCGCTTAATATGCTCTATACGTAATGATTTCCTTTATCTCAATAATTATTACGGCTACGATAAAAATTAAAATATTGACGTAAGATTCAATTAATGAAGATTCCATTATTTTAATATCTAAACAGCAATTACTTAACCATAAAAATAAATAAATTGATCATGGAAACAATTTCTTCTTAAAACTGATTTTGAATCAGTAATCTTAAAATAAAATTCCATTCAGTTTCTAGGTATTATATTTTAAAATATGTATTTATCAAAGTATTTATCTAGTTTAGTAGTAGAACATGACCAAATCGTCTGCCCAGCAATAGTAAACACAGAACATGCAGTTGAAACTGTTAACTAAGCAAATTCATTCTTCACTAGTGTAGGAATACTTCTAGCTGAAAAGGCCAAATCAACGTCCCACTTTCAGCAGTAACCATGACCTCGTCTCACGCCTCACAATTGCACTCATTTGCCTTGATCAACACTGACGAAACTGAAATTGAAAGCATTATTATGACTTTAAGAAACGACTGTGCGACAGGAATTGACGAAATTCGCTGCTCTTTCATTAAACAACATAAAAATTGTTTGATTCCACCCCTGACCTACATTTTCAATCTCTGTTTATTAACAGGCACATTTCCCAAAGTACTGAAAATAGCCCTTATAAAACCTACTCACAAAAGCGGCGATAAAAGCAATATTAGCAATTATCTCCCAACTGCAATATTGCCATCTCTTTCAAGTTACTTGAAAGAATAATCGAAAGAGGCTTGTTAATTATTTAGAAACTAAAAAACTTCTATCAACGTCTCAATACGGTTTCAGAACAGGGTTATCAACGAACGACGCAGTTGATGAACTGACTGTTTACATTGTAAGAAATTTGGACTCGAAGAATAAATGTTTAGCTATCTTCCTTGACCTCGTATAAACCTTTGACACTGTAAACATAGCAAAACTTTAAAATAAGTTAGAAGTACTTGGAATTAAATGAATGCAGCTCAAACTTTTACAGGACTATCTTTCTGACAAAAAACAGCGCGTGACGATTGACAAAATAACGAGTGACGACTTACCGATTGAATATGGTGTTCCTCAAGGAAGCATATTAGGATCAATCCTATTCCTTGTTGCAAGATCATATCTACGCCGATGATACAGTCTTATTGTGTATATAGCACCTCAAGTTGGAATGTAACATTTTCACAAGCTCAATTGGGTTTTAACTTAGTAACCGAGTAGCTCGTAGCGAATGCCCTTATACTGAATACTAGCAAAACTAAATATATGACTTTCTCATACAATATCTCCTCATAACCTCCTGAGAATGCTTTTTCAATAGTAGCTCACCATTGTACAAGCCCTCATCTAAACCTCTGTGCTTGTCCAACACTGGACAGCACAAATGACATTAAATATTTAGGTGTCGTAATTGACAATCATCTTAATTTCAAACACCATATTGTAGGGCTTATCTCTAGAGTTCGAAAATTGATATATGTTTTAAAAAATTTAGGATACGCAACTAGCAGCGCCTTTCTCAAATCAGTGTATTTAGCCCTCTGTCAATCATTGTTACTTTACCGCATTACATCCTGGGGTGGTGCACATAAGACCACTCTGACAAACCTGGAAAGAGCGCAGAGAGCAGCTCTTAAAGTCATCAACTTCCGTGCTTTCGATTATCCAACCTACAAACTTCTAAACGAGTGCGATGTCCTCTCGGTTCGGCAACTGTTTATCCAACAAATAATTTTGAAAAAGCACTCAATTACTCCATTTGATTTCGTTACTTTAACCAACCACAGACGACTTGATGCCTTTTCATCTCGTGCACAACTCCGCACAGCACACTCGCATACATTGTTTTGCTTTCTTAGTACATTCCTTTACTTTAAATTGGTTTAGGTTTAAAGATTTATTTCTCACTAAGAATTTTCATTCACTTAACATGAGAAAAAAATAACTAAATATAATACAGTTGCAATTCGAACGACAAAGGTTGTATAAAACTTATTCTACATTAAGTGGATAGTTGCTTATTTAAATGTGAGTTAGTTGGTTGAATCGCTAACGTGAATGTTGCTATACACAGTTAACAAAGATACATAGAACGGCCAAAACTAGAAGCGACATGCAAGTAGTTTAATTAGGACGAAACGTTTGGTACTTTAAATTATTATTTTATTATGTTTATTATTTATAATGATAATACATTTTTATTTTGTTCGTTTTATTTTTAACCGACTTCAAAAAAAAGGAGGAGGTTCTCGTTTTTCTCTCTCAATATTGCATTGAGTAGTGAGAATCGATTTTTATTATCTCCTGTGTCAAGTTCGTGTCGAACTAGGGGATGAATCCGGGTTTGCGCACTTTCCAGTAACCGATTTCAATAAAACTTGGTAATCATAGGTAATTCCATGTTCTTTTGAGGTGGATTTTTTTATTACTCTGTACTGAGATTATTATATGTTATTCAAGTAGTGTTAAATTTTTATTATTATTAATATTATTTTATTTAGGATGTTTTCAATAAGTGTGTTTTAAGCAATAGCTTGAACGCCGTTACTTTTTGATTCCCTTATATATTTTGGTAATTTGTTACAAATAGTGTCACCTTCATTTAACAAAAAATTTTTCCGTACTTCGTACGTGCAGCGTATTTTAAGTTTTTTGTGAATTCTTGGTCTCAACTTTGATATTTGCTTAGTTTTGCTAATAGTTATTGCAGTATGTAGAGTTTTATTTAATATTTTACGAATTAATATGCAACTTTGATATTTGCATGTTTGCCTAATATTCAATAACTTATTATCTTTGTCTATTTTATTTGTTGATGTTAAATAATCATAATTAAAAAGTACTTTAATCAGTTTGTTTTGTTCAGTCTGAATAGAGTCAAGATTAGTTTTTGCTGCCGTGCCCCAAACCCTGATGAAGTAGTCTATGTGAGGTTTAACAAGGGAATTATAATTCCCTATATGTTTTATATCTAACTTTCTGTGGGAGGAAATTAATTTGCATTATTTCGCCATTAATAAAATAGAATGTAAAACCGTCAAATTGTGGCTTAAGAGAAAGACGTACAATGAAACAGAGGACTTGCTGGAAGTTGTTTCATAATAAAATTACAATTTGTTGTTTTACATAGGTAACCATTAATTTGTAACCACTAATATAGAAATATAGAAAAATAAATATAGAAAATCTATTTTTAAGCTGTAATATAAAGAAATTTGCCCAAAAAAATGCCTAAAATACAGGTATACATTTACTTAGTTTAGGCATCGCAATTACACATTAGACATTAATATTAAAATGTATAGCTTTACTATGAAGAATGTATAATTTAGATTCCCTTGTTAATTCTTATTTGAATACTATAATAGCTTTATTTACATTTGTTTCATTTACATTGTATTAGATTAAGTCACATTGAAATAAATTTATCTTATCTTATCTTAGTTTATAATAGTTTAATGTTAAATATTCTATTACATAATTTTGTATTTTGTGCACGAAAGTCCGTTGTTACAATTATTTTGTCCTGTGTTTAGGTCTTTTTCTTTTAATAATATCAAGTGACGGGACAAACAAGTCGTGCACCTGATGGTACGCTACACGCCTGTCCATAACAGTTGCAGTGCAGTGCCACTCAAGAGCTTTAAATCGCAAAGATAAACAAAAAATATAAAATATATATAATAAATATATATAAAAGATAGATAAAAAAGATAAAAGATAACGCTGACATTACTGTTTGGCGGCAGAAATAGGTAAGGTGGCAGTACTTCCCTGGAGGAACTCTTTCTCAAGGAGCTCTACTGCTACTAAAACTAGTCTGCAGAAAGTATTTCTTATAGAAATAATAATAATAACGCACACACTCAACATAGCGCCGCACTAGGGAAACCCTGTGTCGCGGATGCCATGGACACACACATAGACAACCACAAAAAACACGAGAGAAATAACTCCATACAAATATTTCTCCCGGCCCGGGAATCGAACCTGGGACCTCTGCGTGGCAGTCCGGCATGGTAACCGTTCGGCCACAGAGGCAGTTTAGGCAGAAATAAGCAGTACCTTTTGTTTGTATTTTCCTTTTATTGACTGTATTCTGTGTTTTTTCCTGGGCAATAAATATTATTATATTATTCATTTCATATTCATCATCATCCACAGCCTGATTTCACCCACGGCTGGGTATAGGCCTCCCGAAGTTCGTGCCGTCCACCACGGTCCCGTGCTGGCCGCATCCATTGACGCACCGCGACGCATACTGTGTCGTCGACCCACCTTGCAACATGATGCCCGACGCTTCTTTTACCCATCCTCGGCCACCAATCAGTCGACGTCTTGGTCCACCTGTCATCACCTTGCCTTGCTAGTGTCCCGCCCAGCCCCATGTGAGTTCCATGGTCCGAGTTCCAGCATCCTGGACTTTCGTCCGTCGTCGGATCTCAACGTTCGGAACTCGGGCTACAAGACTGATGCCGAGCATGGCGCGCTCCATGGCCCTCTGTGCAACTCTCAACCTGTATGTATGTACTCTCCTGTGTGAGCGTCCATGTCTCGGCACCATACGTCATGGCGGGCAGAACACACTGATTAAACGAGCAAGTCTGCAGACACTGTGGAACCTTATCTGCTTTAAGGA